GTTAGATGGCGGCTGCCGCCGAGATTTTTGCGTTTGTGAAGTCAGTCAACACGGCGCTGCGCGGCGCGTAGCGGGCGCGCCGGGCAGCAACAGCTCCCCTCCCCGCCCTGCCCTGCCCTCCCGGCCCGCCCCGCGCCCGGAGCGCCCCGAGCCAGGCTACTTAATTTAATGAAGCGAAAAGTAAACCGCATTTTAAGTGGCTCTTGCTGCCTCCAAGTCGCGGTCCGCCCAGTCCGCCCTCCTCCCTCCCTCCCTCTCCACGGCGGAGGGTGGGAGTAGGGAGGGTAAGCTGCCGGGATGAGTCGCCCCTGGCAATTAAAGAGCACAGCTTGCCTCGCTCCTCCCTGTGGACCGGCCGCGCCACGCCACGCCCGGCTGTTCCGCGGAGTTTGCTTAAGAATACGTGTAATTTGAATGAAAGGTACAGCGGTCGAGGCGCGGCGCGGCCCGCCCGCCCATCTTTCCACAACTTCCACCCTGCGCTCTGCCCTTCGTCCCTCCCCCGTTGCTCTCGCTCGCGATATATCTCTTTCTCTCTTCCTCTCTCTTCCTCTTCATCCCCCTCTCGCACGCTGCTGCGGTTTCATGCTGATTGCCGCCGCGGCAGGCCAGTGCCAGCGACGAGTGTACACGGCGCGCTTGTTCGGCCGAAATGGAAGCCAACGAGACGCAACAGCCCATCGCAGTCGCCCGCTCGCGCCGGCCCGCGCCGGCCAGCGCCCCTGGGGGGTAGGCACTAGCAGCGCACGGGTGCGCTCGGCCTGCGCGGGGTGCCTACCGCTCTCGCCCAGCACGGGACTGGCGGGCTCGCCCGTTCAAAGGGAATGGATGAATTGCCGTCTGCTGAGCTCCTTCCGTTATGAGCGCCCCTCCCTCTTCTTACCTAGCTTCTCTCCTCTCATCCCTCTTCCTCCTTTTCCTCCTCTTGCTCCTCTTCCCCCTCATCTTCCTCCTCCTCCTCTTCCTCCTCTTCCTCCTCCTCCTCTTCCTCTTCCTCCATCTCTCCCTCCTCCTCATCTTCCTCCTCATCTTCCTCCTCATCTTCCTCCTCCTCATCCTCCTCCTCATCCTCATCCTCATCCTCCTCATCCTC